GTTTTTTTGTCCGCAATCCCATCAAGCCATGAGCACCCACTAGTAAGTTGTTTGTAGCCAGGACATTTCCAGAAAGACCAAAAGATATAAAAAGAGCTATGATGAGAATGCTCTTCAGATGTTGCAATTTACCTTAAGAGCCCTTAGAAACTGAGAGTATTCACAGTGGCTTTCTGTGAATTTATAAGAATACATCAAGTAAACTTAGGAAGCAGAATGTACAGGAAAAAATCCATGAGATTTCTGGCTGGCAGAAGAAAAGACAGCCCTCATATTAGGCTGTAGAAGGATGCTAAGTAAATGGTAGCTATTAAACCAATATGCAACAAGCACAGTTGCATGGTACGACAACATTATGCAGACAATTAATTGTGAAAAAGTTGTAAGTACCTCAGCTGAGATACCTGAATCATATGAGATGATAGGATGGGCAATATGAGAGGCTCCATTTGCATGGGTAATGAGATCTCCCAGGCACAGTACAAGGACATTTAGAAAAAGACGGTCTGTGAAGAAGGATGGCATCATCCTAGCATGTACATCCAGAAAGAAACAGGTGAAAGAAACAAGAAAAAAAAGAAATCAAACCAAAGGACAAGGCAAAAGTGCAGTTTTGAATAACTGAGTTTGGGATACACTAAGTACTCTAGGCATCTAAACTGTTTCTGCTGACAGAACTGCATTTTAGACCTAGGTCCCAGCTTTTTTGTGTCTCTATTCTGGTTACATGGAGGATAATTTATCTTTTGCAAAGGGACATGGCACAGTCCTCAAATACTGTGGCACAAGAAATTTCTGGAAGATGAAAAGGCTACTTTTACCAGAATAGCAGAGACCCACATGATCTTAACAGAATGCATCTTATTTAATGACATTCAGTGAAGACATGGGTTGTGCCAGCATATAACTGTACACTGAGCCATTTTTCTGTTAAACCAGAGTGTCTGCAAGTAACCTTAGTTTAGTCTAGTTGTACTGCAAAAAAGCTTTATTACAACTAAGGAAAGTTTACTTATAGATGCCATCTGAATATTAACCATGCATAAACATTTATGACAGGATGTGATAAATGTCTTATTTCCTTGATAAAACCAGGGAGTCTAATATGAGCTAGAAAGCTTCTGGTTGGGTATTAGTACTCTGGGCTATGTATGTGCATAACTGATTATAATTTTGAAGAAAGGTTCAGTACTTTGCAGGAAGATTCTTCCACAGACTAAATCTTTAGGACTGGTTTCAACATAAATGCCATAGATGAAACTTTTATGGGGGAATAAGACACACAATTTAATCTTTAATGACCACTGACCAGAGACTCTGGACTAAATAATCTGAGAGAATTTCTAGCTACCTGCTGGCATATTGATTCATTATTATCTCAAAAAAAGAGCAAATTTCCGTATCAACTGATGTGGCAACATAGGTTGGTAATATAGGAACTAAATAGTACCACTAATTAGTGAGTAATAAAAAATATTGCTCACTGAGATTATCTATTGATGATCTCATTTTCACTGCAAGTTTATAACATAACATTTATGAAACAGCAGTATGAGATGAGATGTGCTATACTGCACATATCACTAAGAGAATGAAACAGAGAAGTTATATCAGCAAAGCTAATTCTGAACAAACACTCTTGATTTGAAATTTTAAATGAACATATTTTAGAATAGAAAGAATTATCTATAGTTATAGTAGCATAAATGCCTACTAATGTAATGTAATCTGTTTATGGCCTTTTTAACCACCAGTGCACTTGTAACAAACATGGGTAGTGCCCTCCCCAGGTCTTCATTCACGAAGCCTAGCCATGATGATGTTAAAATAATACAGACCCACAAACATTTTCAATTGCTTACATTTATTCAATAAATCAATCAACTAACAAAGTTTACTCCTTGCAGACAGGAAGAAATAGGGAAAGTAAATCTTATAAAGGCTGAACAAAAAAGGATGAGAGGCTCTACTGTGGGGAAAAAAGGGCATGTCACTGGAGAAGAGCATTTTCTGCAGAGAAGCACTGTTATATGCTGATTGCTGAGCTACCAGCTAATAAATTCTTACCTGTGTTTCTAGAAACTGTAATTACAACAAAACATGACATGAGGGGAAGATGAAGTATCATTGCATGAATTATTGATAGTGACCTTTTTACAGGATGAAGTTCTACATTAAATGGGGTGAGCCAAAACTCAGTGAAGTCAGCAAGTGCTTTTCTGTGGATTTCTGTTGGCTTTGGTTGTGGCTTAAAACAGATTTAAAAAAAAAAGAGAGAGATACAGAGTTTAGAAATTTGGACAGTTCCATTCAATAAAAAAAATTTCTCACTCTTCTATTCTTATTTTACTTTTACTTCCCATGGTCCTAAAATCCCGGAAAAGCCAGGATAGACTCATGGCCATACCACAGCTTGCACAGTGCTTACCAGACAAAGACAGCACTGCAAATTTTCAGTTCTCCATCTGCTAGGGACAGGCCATGCTGTCATTATCATCTCCATGGATACATCCACGCTCCTGCTTCTGTCTGCTTCCTCACATAATTAGTTCACTATGGCTTCACATAGTCCCAGGATCTCTGCATAGAATTTTGGTCACTTTGTATAGGAATCAAGTTATTTAGTACCCATGTTGGGAATGCCACTATTAACATTTTCTCCCAACTGCTTTGAGTCAAAGACAAAAGTTGTCGTAGCATTTTTCATAATATATGCCCACACATTTAGGTATCTCTGGATCTCTAGAGATTTGTCAAGAAAATCTAAAAGGTGGCACTTTGATCTCCATTTCTAGAAAACACAGCAAATTAAAAAAAGCTTGTTTGGCATAAGTGTTTAACAAAAGAACAGAAAAATCACCTAGAAGGCCAACAAAATGTTTTTGAATGTTCCAATACATTAAGGAAAATAGACACTTTTGTGAGGGAAGGACCAGGAATATTGGAACAGGAAAATTTTTTCCTCTCTTTTTCTACCAGATAGGCTAATTTTGTGAATGTTTACAAAGTTTCATGCCTGTTCTTAACTTCTAGGAAACCAGATCCAAGAACATGTTACTATTTTACCAAGCTGTTTGGTTCTTGCTCATGTAAGCCACATTTTCTATGTGATACTTTCCAATAAATTCTGTGATATTCCCTGTTTGAGAATAGACATCTCTTGTGAGCAAGGACTGCCTTTTGTGCTGCGCAACGTACCAAACAGCTCACAAGAATTGTCTCTTTAAAATGAGATTGCAAAGGATTTCCTGAACCTGAACTACCCAAAACAACCCGTGCAGGCCCTTGTAAGAGCTTGCTTTCTCTGGACTTACATCAGATACTTCCAGATCTCCATTTCTAAAAACTGATTTACTCCAAGATATACTTCGGATTTCACCAATTTTCAAGAAATAGTTTAAAAGATCACTGGCTATCCTATCTGATAACATGGCATTTTGTTTAATGGAACATTTGTTTGTATTCAAAGCTCTCATATTTTTCACGAAGTACAATCTATTGTACGAAATGACATGATATACACATGCAATAAGATAATTTCATTTCCACAATGCCACAGTTGGAAAAGGGGAGTATTTTTAAGGTGCTCTAGAGATAGAAAGCATTTATGAAATCTGATACATATGAACTGACAGCATGCTACATTTATGAAAGCCAGCTTTTACTATGGAGGACACAAAAACTGTCTCCCATAGACGTGTCTCTATGGGGTGCTAAAGCCATAGTGGTAAACAAACAAGGGTGGTGATATTTTCTTGTAGGCGAAATCAATAGCTTGTGGCTGGTGCTTCCTGTAACAGTACACCAGGGATTTCCCTTGCTACTGCTGTGTGGCATGTAGCAAAGCTTTCCTAAAGTTATGAAATACCCTGCAACTAACATGAATCACTATTAAAATATTGTAATTATGTATATCTAACCACATCTTTTGTCTAAATCCTGCAAATTTGGTTAAGAGCACTGAACACTGGGTGTGTATGTGTGGGGTTGGAAATGTGAACAGGTATGAAACTTAGGATAGCAATGCCATTAAGCAGTGTAAATCCTGATACAGATGACATGGTTCTTTGACCTCTTTGTCCCTCTCCAACATTCCCTCCAGCTCCTGTGTTACCCAAAGCTTGTGCCAAATAGCTTCAAAAAGACAGGAGGCTCATTGTCTGCTCTGGATGAGCACGAACACCCATTTCACAAGGAGCTGCGAGCACTAGCTGTGCATTGCATTGCATTGCAGCAGGGTGGCCCAGGCTGCACGGTTTCCAGCAGCCTCAGAGCACTGAAAATGGCAAGAGGAGATGCAATTTCTGCAGCACAGTCATGCAGGATGTCTTCCTGAAGGTCTACTGAGAGAAGGGTATACCTTGTGCAGGGGCATCCCTGCTCAAGGAGAAGGCTGGGAAACTTTAACTTGTCACTCACTGTATGTGACATGACAGGTTGGGGGTTATCACAGAATCACAGAACGGTTTAGCTTGGAAGGGAACCTTAAAGATCATCTCGTTCCAACCCCCCTGCCCTGGGCAAGGACACCTCCTACTAGACCAGGTTGCTCAGAGCCCCATACAATCTGGCCTTGAACACTTCAGGAATGGGGCATCCCCAACTTACTGTATTGTGGACAAATAACGAGGGCGGGATGCTCTGAGATTGCTCCACGGTCTGTCGATAATGTTATAAGTAAAATCGGCACTAGGCTCAAATATCGTAGTAAAAAGTTTTATTATAGATTTATATAAAAATCAAATAAGCAAAATACAGCGCTGGGTGACTTAGTGAGCTTTCCTTGCTCATCTAAGGCACACTTCAATAATTTCCAGTCTGCCTTTTATAGGTTTTGAGCTGCTTATCTCCTTTAAAATCCCCTCCTTTGTTCATCAGGTTTATCTGCGCAGGCTCTGTTCCTGTTGCCAAGAAGCTTTACGCATGCGTATCTTGTTGCTAGGAGACAAGCTCGGCTCTGTTCACTTCAACCTTTTGATGTAGTCAGCTTTTTCTGCGCATGTGCTGTCTTGCCACTGGAAGAGAGTTCTGTTCTCTTTTTCAGTTCTTTTTCTTCTTACATAACATAACAAAATATCACTAATTATGGTAACATAACATTATGGTTTGTGTGATATATAAATAATTGTGATTCGTGAAGCAAATGGGTGACTACATTAAAAACAGACTAAATAGATTCTAAAACTTAACTACACCCCCACAATGAAACAAAACAGACCCTCCCAAGGTCAAAAGGCCTAAACCTTCTCACTATCCTAAGGATGAAATATAGTACAACTTTAAGTCTTTAGGCGCCTACTCGTCCAAGAGTACATGAATTAGGACTGGCTGCAGAGATAGCTCTTTTAACCTTAGCTGTAAATATAATAGAACTTTAAATCTTTAGGCGCCTGTTCATCTAAGAATACATGAACTATGACTAGTTGTAGAGATAACTCTCAGCTTCAGTTATGAGAAAACTTTCCCATTAAACATTTAGCCAAAAACTCACAGAATATACAGGTATATGATACAATCAATATGCATGAGGTAGTCAAGACAAACACTAAATGAAATTATTACTTGAAACTTATAGAAACTTGGGACTTTGTTTATCGCAACTTGTAATTACAGTGTTGCAAATATAATTTGATAAGCAAATTATCTCTCCTTTGGTCTTTATTGGCTATCACAATTTCCCCCTCTTCTATTTATCATTAATTTGCTTATCAAACCTTATTACAGCTTCTCGGGCTGCACTCAAGGTAGGAAATGGTTCAGCTTTAGATGTTTCTTCGCTCGATTCGGAATATGGCTGTCTCATTACCATAAGTTGTACCGTTTCCATCCTACCTTTAACAAAAGTTACAAATTTATTCAAAATACAAGGACCAAATGTCAAAGTAATTAACAACATTATTAGGGGGCCTATTAGGGTAGAAATTAAAGTAGTTAACCAGGGTGATTTGTTAAACCATGATTCAAACCAGTTTTGTTGAGTGGCAGTTGAAACTGTGGAGGTGTGTCTTTTTCTACTCTCCTTCTGATTCAAATTATCCTCTTTTTTCTTTATTACTTTATTGGGTCCTACTGCCAGAGGGCGGTGGGTGACTTCTTGTTTTTTTATGAATATTAGCCCTCCCCTGTCTGTGCCAGCTTCCCAGTATCTGATTCCCCAAGTTCTTCCTATCAACCATCCTGGGTCTTCTGGTTGCAGTACCTGGATGGTAATATACTTACAATCGCTATACCTCTTCGATCCTCTAGACAAAACAAATTGTGAAGGTTTACAGCCAGGTGGTCCCCATGTTGTCGTTAGGTATTTATCTTGAGAATTAGGGGTCCAGGCGGAAGCAATAGTGGCACAGTCCCAGTGTACACAATAATATTGATCAGGGTAGTTACAATATCCTTTTCCTGGATTAGATGCAGGACAGAGATAATAAGGTTTCAAATTTGAACAATGTGGTACAGGAGCTATTTGACACAGTGTAGCAGAGAAACTGGGAGATCCTACTGTAAGATTAGTCCTAACTGTTTTTAGATCGCTCCATCTGTTCAGAGTCCACTTGTACGGCCGATGTGGGCTTTCCCTGCTTGGGGAAAGCTGCCACAAAAATACCACAATCCATATATAATTTCCCATATCTGTTCTCCACTGTATTATTGCTCTGCCTCCTCCGTCTACTCCTTTGCTGGGAGCAACGGGGTTTTACATCTTCTCGGCAGCAGTCAATATTCTTCAGGAGAATATGGGCTCTTGATAGGTTCTTGTGACCTTTTCCTTTATTTCTCTAGATCCATATATTTTCTAAAAGTTGGTTGGTTGTGAACTCTGTTTTCTAGGCAATTTTAACGGCACACTGTTCTAGAGTTTTGTACCAAAATTAGAAAATATTTTATCATGGACTTCCCAGTTCTCTGGTACCAACTACTCCTATCTACAGAATAACTTATCAATTTCTAAAACATTCAGTTTCTCATCAGAAGCAACAAAGAACTCTCGGCAATTCGTACAATGGGTGTCCTGCCTACTGCTGTACAATACCACTCTATACCATATAATGTACATTTACAACTGACCCAGCTCCGGGGTCTTGAAACTGGGTGTTTTATACAGGGTATCTTCTGTGCAGGTCTTTCTGGCAAAGTAATTTCAGTCTCAAGATCACAACAATGAGGAAAAGTTTTACCTTTTTCAGCAATTTGGTATATCCACTTTCCCCAGCCTGGTAGAGGATTAGCCCACTTATCAATGTCTATACCGAACCCTTATTAAGGTTAGGTCTCGAGGTACTTCAGACCAGGAGTATAGGCTGGGCTGGGTCCCAGTCTCGTTCAGGGTTATTCATTTACCAGTCCAGTTTTTCTGAACGTCATTCGGAGATTCCCAGGCTGAGAAGTTACAGTCCATTCAGGAGTGTTGACTGGCCCCTTAACCCGAGATGCGTGAGTCCATCCTCTTTCAGCGGTACGAATGGCTGTATCTGTGGTAAGAAGAACAACAAAGGGTCCTTCCCAACGAGGCGTTAATGAAGACTCTTTCCATGTTTTAATTAATACCCTGTCTCCAGGTTGAATTCTGTGTATTGCCATATCCAACGGGGGTCTCTGAGTTACTAATCCTTTTTTCCTCAATTCCTGTCTCCTTTTCATTAACTCAATTATATATTCCCTCAAGAGGGTATCTTCCACCTTGGGATTTTCAATCGGGATTCCAAAATCATATGGCATCCCATACAGCATTTCAAATGGTGAGATTCCTGTGTCAGTACGTGGTTGGGTCCGTATATATAATAAGGCCAATGGCAAACACTTTACCCAATTCATTTTAGTTTCTATCATTAATTTAGTCAATTGCTTCTTTATTTCTCCATTCATTCTTTCTACTTTACCAGAGCTCTGTGGATGCCAAGGAGTATGGTACTCCCATTTGGTTCCAAAAAGTTCTGTTGTTTCTTTAATTATTTTAGAAGTAAAGTGTGGTCCCCTGTCCGAATCTACTACTGCCACAGCACCATACCTTGGAATAATTTCTTCTAATAAAATCTTAATCACTGTTTTGGCTGTACATCGGGCTACCGGAAAGGCTTCTACAAAGTGGGTGAGATGGTCCACTAACACCAGTAGATGGCGATACCTGCCTACTTTAGGTAATTCAGTAAAATCTGTCTGTACTTTCTCAAAAGGTCTCTTAGCTATCTCTCGTCCCCCTTGTACTCGTTCTCTCAATTGCCTTTTGTTTACCCTCTGACAGGTTAAACACCCTTCCAAAATTTTCTTTGCTATTCCATAAACTCCCACACAGGCAAACTTGTTTTCAAACTGATCCACTAATGCCTGTATTCCCCAGTGGGTTGTCTCATGTAATTTCTTCATTATTCTCTGAGCAAGCCCTTTTGGAAGTACTTCTCGACCATCTGCTAATAACCATTTATTATTTTCTTCTTTTGCTCCAGATTGCTGCAGTTTCTTTTTCTCTTGATCACTAAAACTTTTCAGGACATTTCTATCTTCTGGTTCTGAACTTGCCATTACTAATAAAGCTGCTTTCTTTGCTTCCTCATCTGCTAAATTGTTGCCCCTAACAGTAGCTTTTAACCCTTTCTGATGCCCTTTAATATGTACTATTGCAATCTGCTTTGGCTTTCTCAAAGCTTTTAAGATTTCTCGTATTAGAGTTTCATGAACAAGTCCTTTACCCTGGGTATTAATCAATCCTCTCTCTTCCCATATCTTGCCGAAGGTGTGAACTACTCCAAATGCATACTTAGAGTCTGTGAAGATAGTGCCTGCTTTTCCATCTAATAATTGTAACGCTCTCAACAGTGCATATAACTCACAAGCTTGGGCTGACCATGTCTTATCTAAGGGTCCAGATTCTCTGACCTGAAAATTTTCTCCATCTATCACTGCATATCCTGACTTTCGATTCCCATTAACCACCCTAGAAGAACCATCGATGTATATTTTCTCTCCCGAACTCAGTTCTTCTTCTTCCAAATCCTCCCTAATCTTTGTTTGAAGGTTTATTACCTGTAAACAGTCATGTCCTAGATCTTCTTTAGGTTCTCCATATAAAAATTGAGCTGGATTTTGCACATGTGTCATCTCTAACTCCAGATCCGGGGAGTGCAATAGGATACTTTCATATTTTAATAGTCGACTATCAGTCAACCATTTCTCAGCTCTCTGTTGTAATACTCCTCTTATATTATGGGGAGTAAATACTTTTAATTTTCCTCCAAAAGTCACCTTTATAGCTTCTTCAACTAACAGAGCTGTAGCAACTACACATTGCAAACAGGTGGGCCAACCTCTACTTACTGGATCCAGCAATTTTGAATAGTACCCTACCGGTTTCCTCTGTCCGGCCCAGGTCTGGGTTAGGACTCCATATGCTGTACCATTTTCTGTATTTACAAATAGATAAAAAGGTTTCCGATTGTCTGGCAGACTTAACACAGGTGCATTTACTAAATCCTCCTTCAATTTTTCTAAGTGCTGTTCATCCTCATCACTCCACTTTACTAGCCCCTCCTTGGTTAATTTTTCATACAAAAATTTGACTTTACTACTGTAATTTTCAATCCATTGCCTACAATACCCAAATAGGCCCAGAAGTTGTCTAACCTGTCTTTTGCTCCTGGGTACAGATAGTGACAGAATTCCATTTACTCGATCAGGATCTAATTTCTTATGTCCCTTGCTCAACCAATGCCCTAAATACTTAACTTCTTCCTCTGTAAATTGCAATTTGGACTTTGACACTTTCAAACCTTTTAAACTTAAGAAATTCAGAAGTCTAATGCTTTCATCTCTGACATCTTCTAACTTTTCTCCGGCAACTAACAAGTCATCAACATATTGAATCAAAACCGTACCCTGGCGAGGTTCAAAAGACTCTAATAATTGTCCTAAGGCTTGTCCAAACAAATTAGGGGATTCTGTAAATCCCTGAGGTAGAACAGTCCATCTAAGTTGTTGTTTCCTATGTGAGTCAGGATCTTCCCATTCAAAAGCAAAATAGTCTCTACTCTCTTCTTTCAGAGGACAAGTCCAAAATGCATCTTTCAGGTCGATCACACTATACCACTTATGGTCAGGTGAGAGTTGGTTTAGTAAAGTATAAGGATTAGCGACTACAGGGTACCGGGTAATTGTCCGTTTGTTTACTTCCCTTAAATCCTGCCCCAGACGATATGATCCGTCAGATTTCCTTACCGGCAAAATGGGAGTATTATGAGGTGACTTACATGGTTCTAATAATCCTTGTGTTAAAAGTCTTTCTATGGTCGGTTTAAGTCCAACTCTTCCTTTATGTGGGATGGGATATTGTTTCACTCTTATTGGTTCTTCTGGATTTCGAATTGAGACCTCAAATGGTTTTATATCTAGCTTTCCCACAGAATCAGGAGTAAACCACACCTCAGGATTTATTCTTTTTTCGTCCTCTGCCGTAAGGGCATATATTTGGACTTGTAATTTTTGATCTTTCACTTCTAAATTTATTCCCAATTCTATTATCAAATCTCTCCCTAACAGATTATACTCAGCCTCAGGAACTAATAGAAATGTTCCTAATGCATATTTATTCTGGGCTTCTATTTCCACATCTTTTATGAGGGGCACCTTAAATGGTTCTCCCTTGGCCCCTACAACTTGGATTGTGTCTGAGGAAGTCGTGCAACCCCAAGGTAACTTTTGAACTGTCGATCTTTCTGCCCCTGAATCCACTAGGAACTCAAGTTCTTGTTGCTGGGGACCTATTTTAAGTTTTATCAAGGGCTCTGTATTCTTCTGGGTCCCCAGCGAATAGAGCCCCTGACTCCCCTATTCCTCTTGGTAAATTTGTTCATCTTGCAATCTCTTCCTGCAATTTCTCTTTATGTGTCCTTTCTGCCCACAGTAGTAACACTCCAATTCACCCAAGTCTAACTGCACACGTTCTCTAAAGGGTTCACGTCTATTAGGTCCACAAGGGGTCTTCCGTCTCCGTTCTCTATCCCCTCGTTGTCCTCCTTTTATAGCTGCCACTAAAATTCTTGTCTGCTTCCTCTGCATTTCTTCTTGTCTTTTCTGCCTTTCTTCCTCTCTCTTCTGTAATTTTTCCTGTCTCTCCTCTCGTTCCTTTTGACTCTCTTCCTCCCTCCGCACATATACTTTCTGCGCAATCCTCAACAATTCATCCATTTCCTTACACTGCCAATCATCTATGTCTTCCAGCTTCTTTTTAATATCTGCCCATGCTCCACTCACAAACCGCATCTTAAGCACTTGCTGTCCCATTCCATCACCTGGATCCATACCAGAATAAAGCTGGAAAGTCCTTCTAAGTCTCTCTAACCATTCAGTTGGGCTTTCCTCTTTCCTTTGATATTCACTGAAAGCCTTCGTAACATTCTGCCCTCTAGGGACAGATTCCTTTATCCCCTCGACAATTATTTCTCTCAGATCATTCATATTTCTTCTATGATTTGGCTCATTATGGTTCCAATTAGGGTTTTCTAAAGGCCATTTAACATCTGCAGCTGGACCCTGCCGGTGCCTTTGATCCCAACCTTTCATTCCCGCTTTTCTAATCATTCCCCGTTCTTCCACAGTAAATAATATTCCTAAAATTGACTGTATTTCCTCCCAAGTATATATATTAGGACCTAAAAACTGGTCAAACCTCTCAGCCACTCCCAAAGGATCCTCTAAGAGATTTCCCATCTCTTTCTTAAATGCTCTAACATCTCCTGAATTCAAGGGAACTGATATAAACCCTATCCTATCCCCTTGATTTCTTCCTCCCCCCATTGTAGTCTCTCTTAAGGGGTACAACTGTGACGTGTTCGTGGATAAAGAGACTATTCCTGAAGAACAATGCTCTGTTTGCATGGACTGTGGAGTCATTGGGGATATTATGTTAGGACTCTGTGTTTCAGGAGCTGCTGACTGCTGCGCTTCCTGAGGGGGGGGTGGATAGGATGTTTGCTGATTTCTCACTCCAGCAGCCACTGACAGGGTGGCTCCCTCAGTTTCAATAGGGGAGAGGGGTAATTTTGCTGGAGCTGTGGGAGTGAATACACTCTTGTGATCATTCTGAATTACAGCACCATACGGAGGTGACCCCCTGGGCATAGGCCAAGGCAGGACATATGGGGGGGGTATTTTTTGAAACTCTTTTAGGTCATAAGCCGTCTTCTGTCCTTTCTCTTCACTTAACGGGAAGAGAGAGATTCTAGTATCCACTTCTATCCATAAGCTAGTGTACTCACATTCCTCTGCACAAAATGGTCTTTTGCTATTCACATACAAATTTAAAGCCTGACATATCCAATCCTCAAATGAACCATACACCGGCCAAAACAAATAGTCCTGTCTGATTTGCTTTCCTCCCCATACTTCCATACAATAATGCACCATCTTCTCCCTCAACTTTCCTTCTCTAGAGGGATAATCATTCCAATACTTGATCATAACTCCTAAAGGACTGTCCGGGGGTATAGTTGGTAACCCCACCACGAACTCATTCTCTAGTTTTTTCCTCTCCTGTGGGGTATCCTGCAGCTTCTCCTTATGATCCCCCATTTCACCCTTCCCTTTGGGTTTTTCTTCACTCTTAGGGCTGTCCTGCACTAATTCACAGCCACCCATGGGAGTAGAAGATTTACTTTTCTTCTGTCCCATCTTCCAGAATGCTTTCACACACAAATTCACCTCAGTCGCTTCCCTCCTTTCGTGATTTGTCTCTTCTGGAAATACCAGAACTGCACTACCGGGAGGTCTCAATCACTTGTCCTGCTGGACTTCTCAATCCCTCGCACTCCGGGATTCCCTCCCCACCGAGAGGGGTACGCAAATACTTACCTCTCCTGGATAAGTCTTCATCCAACTCCTCGCTGGACGGTCCCTTCCCAAACCGAGCGGCACCTGGTACTTTTACTCTCTCCTGGAGTAAAACACTTACTCCCCCCCGGAGTAAGTCTCCGTTGAACTCTTGTCGAACGGTCCCTCCCGACTGAAGAGGTTTCACTACTCACTTTTTCCTGGAGTTAGTCTTCGCCCGGGCTTATGCATAAGAATTACAGGGAACTGCAGTAATTTTATTTGCTTATTTGCTTTTTCTAAATCTTCTCGGTCGGAATTTCAGAGTCTGTGCTGCGGAACCTCTCCCCAGGACCGTCCAAAAAACAAGGACGGGGGTACCCGTCCCGGGTAGCAGTTCCGCCGCCCAGGAACCCTGATCCGAGTCACGGCACCAAAATTGTTATAAGTAAAATCGGCACTAGGCTCAAATATCGTAGTAAAAAGTTTTATTATAGATTTATATAAAAATCAAATAAGCAAAACAGCGCTGGGTGACTTAGTGAGCTTTCCTTGCTCATCTAAGGCACACTTCAATAATTTCCAGTCTGCCTTTTATAGGTTTTGAGCTGCTTATCTCCTTTAAAATCCCCTCCTTTGTTCATCAGGTTTATCTGCGCAGGCTCTGTTCCTGTTGCCAAGAAGCTTTACGCATGCGTATCTTGTTGCTAGGAGACAAGCTCGGCTCTGTTCACTTCAACCTTTTGATGTAGTCAGCTTTTTCTGCGCATGTGCTGTCTTGCCACTGGAAGAGAGTTCTGTTCTCTTTTTCAGTTCTTTTTCTTCTTACATAACATAACAAAATATCACTAATTATGGTACCATAACATTATGGTTTGTGTGATATATAAATAATTGTGATTCGCGAAGCAAATGGGTGACTACATTAAAAACAGACTAAATAGATTCTAAAACTTAACTACACCCCCACAATGAAACAAAACAGACCCTTCCAAGGTCAAAAGGCCCAAACCTTCTCACTATCCTAAGGATGAAATATAGTACAACTTTAAGTCTTTAGGCGCCTACTCGTCCAAGAGTACATGAATTAGGACTGGCTGCAGAGATAGCTCTTTTAACCTTAGCTGTAAATATAATAGAACTTTAAATCTTTAGGCGCCTGTTCATCCAAGAATACATGAACTATGACTAGTTGTAGAGATAACTCTCAGCTTCAGCTATGAGAAAACCCCCCCATTAAACATTTAGCCAAAAACTCACAGAATATACAGGTATATGATACAATCAATATGCATGAGGTAGTCAAGACAAACACCAAATGAAATTATTACTTGAAACTTATAGAAACTTGGGACTTTGTTTATCGTAACTTGCAATTACAGTGTTGCAAATATAATTTGATAAGCAAATTATCTCTCCTTTGGTCTTTATTGGCTATCACAAGTTTGTCACACTAAACCTTTGCAAATCACTGGCTATCTCATTTCAATCTCATCTCTCTTATCTCCAGGCCTACAAAGATGATTGTTCTGTCACCCCAAACCCATTTTAATCCCTTCTTTTTCTTTCCTTTTTTTTTTTCCATTTCTTCACATTTTTCAGTGTATTCATTTAAATCCAGTTACAGGTTTAGCTGCACATAGCTGTTTAGGATAAAGATCCTGTAGTTAGCTCTGAAATTTGGAACATCTGAGAAATCTGATGCAGCCCCATGACAAGCACTACCAACCAACCCCACTGTGGTTGCACAGGATGCAGTTTCAAGATTATCTTGTTTATATCAGATATCACTACACGTACTATATGCTGTAACCTGTGTTGCAGACACATCTTAAAATCTTTTACTGGCTCAAGTCCATAATAATTTCCCCAAAATTCCAGGAATGTGAGGTAGGGTCTGAAAGGCCACATGATGAAAATCAAATATCGTTTGATGGGGGTACGACCTACCAGGAAACTTGGAAACTTCTGTAAGCAGACACCAACCCAACCCAGTGTGTGGCACATGAATTCAACAGGCACACCTTCTGTCCATCCTTTAAGCACCCTTAATCCTTTCCAGTTAGCAAACATGATAATTATGTTGTAGGCATGCCATTTTCCTAAGACATGGATTAAATCAAACTGTCATAAAAGAAGAGAGCAACTGATGGTGCACTCGTAAAGTGCCTTTAACTCATAAGAAGAAAGGTAAAATTAAACACTGGGCTGGCCAGCTGAAGGTATATAATCGATAGGAAAAGGAGCCACATAGGATGGAGCACCAGCAGGAGGGAAGGAGTACTGTCACCTGTACTGGGCAGGTTTCTGTCATCAGACAGAGCTCCAAGAGGTGATTGCCAAGCCCTGCTTGGAAACAGCAAACGTTTTCTATGGTCAGGGATTCACTAGTAATCATTAATCTCTCCCTTGGCATGAAGCCTTTGAAAAGAGTTTGGTGTCTCATGATACCCATTTTCGTGGGGGAGGTGGGAAGGGACACGAGCAGTGAAGCTGGTCCAGTATCACTCAGCAAGGCTGGTTTCCAAGTTGGAGGGAAAGTCAGATTTACTGAGTGCTAAGCCAGGCCAATGGCCTAGAACTTCTCCAGAAGGGTAACAAAGTGCCTGCTGCGATTTCTGGAGCCCAGGAAAGTTGCCAGTACCGTCTGTCACGTCTGTGTGGCCTTATCAAGTGACCTTATCCAGTGATCATCCACCTAATCTAAAAATATCAAAGCCTCACCTCTGCCTAACACCCCCCTGGGAATGCTCTTCTGGGAAAATTTTCCAAAGAAACACAAATCATTTGTTGGCAGATTTTAGGTGCCTTTTGTGAATAATGCATAATAATGAATAAAAATCTCGTCTCGTGATAGAAAGCTGTGCTCTCCTCTCCCTGAAAGGATCCAAAGAGCAAAACCAAGGCATTGCTTACACTCCCTTTGAGATCTCTTCCATGGGATGCTGCAAGTTCCCTCCTCTTTTTTCAGTGCATGCAGGGGAGAAGGAATAT